ATAGAGCTTTACTCAGTAGGTATATTCACGTGAGTAGCACGCGATTTTTAGTTAATTTCCAAAAATGTATTTAAATAAAAACAATATTTTGTATCTGTGAGCTATATTACAACCTTTTGTGAAACTCTTAGAGTTCAATTTTACTTTGTAACACATCGAACTGAAATCACAATATTCTACATAGAGTACCATTCAACGTTGCCGTAAAAAGCACTTTAATTGAATTCAATACAGACCAACATTCTAGCGTTCTCCAAATATATTCTGATCACGCGAGTTAATTCTTTTGAAACTGCAAACGTTACCGTGTTCACTGAAAAAGGAGACGTAAAATATAGTGAGGTGATTACTTTGGTATTAAAGCTTCGACTCCCGACTTTGTCTGTGAGAAATCTCGATTACTTTGAAAAATACTGTTACTTGGCTTATTTTGGCCGAGTGGTCGCCAGTGCGACTGCCGGGCAAGAGGTCTCGGATTCGTTTTCAAAAGTATTACCGGTTTTTTTTTTTAATTCTCAGTAGTAGCGTGGAATTGCGGTATATGGCAATGGGCTCACCCCTTATTACATGAGACTCATAACATAAATAGTGAAGTGTGTGTACAGTGGCATTAAGTGCCGTGATGTTAAATGTTATGTTAACTAGAAATTTCGATAGTAACTAAGTACATATTTTTGTGATAAACCACATATATTAATATAACGCATAGCGTATTAATATAACAAGCACTATTCTTTGTAGCACAGCCCACGAGTTTAATATTTTTTTACATTTCTATTACAAAAATTTTCACGTTAACTGTTATAAGTTCTTTAGCAAAATATTCTTCTAGTAGTTTCGTCGGCTAGTTAGCAAAGTTATCTTTGAAAATAAGTTATTTTTACTGTGTACATATGTCTAATATGTTTATTATTTGTATTATAACTTTTGTGAGACATACTAAATAAATTATTATGTTTTCGGCTTGCTTACGTAATTATTTGACGAGGAATTCGACTAGTTTCAAGCCATGCTAGAGGCTCATATTCATGGGCAGCATTTCGAGACCCGCGACGTGGCGACTGTCGCGCTGCTATTCAGTCACCGCGCTGCGAATATGAGCCTCTAGCATGGCTTGAAACTAGTCGAGTTCCTCGTCAAATAATTACGTGGGTAAGCCGAAAACATAATAATTTATGTTTATTATTGTAGACTTATTTTCTGACCTTATATAGAATTGCGTGGGAGGTTCTTATAAGTTCCGAATATGGAATAAAGCCGAAAAGACTTTTCCATATACCTATTTCAATAACTAAATATTATTACCAATCTTTCTTATTTGTGTCCTAATAATATCTTCATATAAGGTCGATTTTTCAATGCTACAATATGTTGGATATGAGACTAAAGAAACGAATGAAATTAGATGAACTGAAAAATGTTTACTGGCTCACTCTACAAACTTCATTCTGCAATTTTATCAAGTCACTAGCTACTTGCGCGCATTTCACCCGGCTCCTATTGGTCGTAGCGAGATGTTTTATAGCCTATATCCTTCCTCGATAATTGGACTATCCAACACAAAAAGAATTATTCAATTTGAATCAGTAGTTTCGGAGATTAGCGCATTCAAAAAAACAAACTCTTCAGCTTTATAATATTATAGTATAGATTTAAAAAACATAATAGTTAGTCCAATAGTTCCCGGTATTAAAAAACACTTTATTTGTATTTTTTTTTGTAAATTTATTTTGATTTGCCTATTTACTTCAACCAGTGGATATACAGGATCTATCTATATCTAATATAATCACTATTACTATGCAATAAAAAAATGTATTCCTTTTTAAAAGGCCGGCAACGCAACAATAACTCCCCTGGTGTTGCGGTTGTGGGTGTCCATGGGCGGCACTGATCGCTTACCATCAGGATACGTCCGCTGCCTCCTATTCCATAAAAAAAGTCGCGGAGAACCTAACGGGTAACCGGGGCTCCGGCTCGACGTGCAGGAGAAGGAACGGGGTGGTTTTTAGTCAATAAGAGTCTGACACTCCCTCCCGCCTCACCCAGGCGGGAGCAGTCATTCGATGATATTCCCCCATTAAAAAAAAAAAACATAGGAAATAACATCTCAATTCGAAACCTATATCACTATTAGTATTTTTAAACTTTTACACAAACGCTAAAACATTTACTAGGTACCTAGATCGTAATCACGAACTAATGGTGACGCCCAACAACCTCCGTCGTTTGTACGCCGCTCAATAAAAAGTTAGCTCAACACAACGTCCATTGAATTTTATGTGCTATGAAAGCACGGATTAAATTTTGTTCCATTTAGTTCCTAGTTGAAAGGCTTGGGCTTTATTTGTCGATGTGATAGATTTATTGTTAAAAAACAACATGCATTCTGTATATTAAAGTCAGAGGAATTTTAATATCATTTGTATTTTGATCTCTATTTTGTTAGATTTAGGATTATCTTTGAATACAATGATGATTATTTTAATTCCTCTTTTTTCCCAGTATGTACGTAGAATTATACTATTGGTACAAAGCTATTATATCTATTATTCATTTTTAAATCTTGTTTTATCAATATCATGATTTATGAGCATCATGCGGGATTATTTTAAATTCTTTTTTTGTCACTGAAAATTTGTATACCTACATAACTCCAATATTATTTTTTGGGATTTTTTTTAGTTGAAAATCTCGTAAAATTTTGTATTCTGGGTTACCTTATCCATTATAATACACAAATCAACCCCATGGGCCCATACTAAGCATGTCATATTCCCTACAATACGCCTCTTCCCGCCTTTATTTTAAACGTGGAACGCATAACGAATAGCTCCAAATAAAGGAATATACATACTGACGTGATACTACGTCAGCACACTCTTTTTGAAATATTGGCAAAAAGAGGTCGACCACCCTTCATAGACAACGTACAATGTACTGGCCAGCGAATATTTATGATCACTCAATATGATAACTCGGAGGTTCCTTTCGACATATGCAGCATTATTTTGTGCATGGCCAGTGATATTTTGTGGTGTGTGCAAGTTATTGTTTTGTAAAAAATTGTGTCATAAAATAAAATGTGGAGTTTAAGCAATCTGTTCTTCCTACAAATAAAGAAAAATCGACGATAACAAGCCCATTTAAAACATTTATTTCAAAATCAGTTATCAAAGCTGAAAGTCAGACAAACATCTTAATTAGAAACAGTCATAAATATGGATACACTCGAAGAACATTTTAATAAACATATCATTAACAACTGAAACACATTTGAAACTCCATGGTATAAAAATACATAGACAATAAAAATAAATAAACTGACTGGCCACTAAAATAGCGGGGTACAATAAAAATTAACTACACTACCGAACGCTGCCGTTTACACAGATATAAAATATGCCTGCTGGAATACCCATGTATTTTTTTAAAGTCGAATGTAACCTATATCGCTTGTAACAATGAAGTCGGAGTTTGCTTTACAAATAGCCTTTTTCACGAAGCTTCCAGTTTGTGGTTTTAACAAGAGTATATGTAGCAAATTGTTAAATAAATATGCAGGTATATGTATGCGTAAGTTAAGGTAAACTCATTCTAATAGCGGTATTGTGTGGGGAAAGGTCGTTTGGTAAAAAGTTTTTTTATTCATGCTGGTTTGTTGTGTTAGGTCATAGCTCGCAATGGTATATGATTCTACTATACCTATTGAATTGGGAGGGGATTGTAAACATTTATATAATTATTAATTCATAATACTTTCTCTTATAATATCACAAATATACTATAATATTAACTCTAATAAAATAATCATAACTAAATCATCAAACGACTATTTCCATAAAAAAAACTGTACAAAAAGTTGTTATAAAACTAAACAAAACACTTCAAAATATTGACTCAACACAACATCAGAAAAGCTAGAATTTCTAAAGAAAAATAAGACACCTTTAAGTCAAGTGCCTAATACTTGGAGACGCGTCAAAAGTTGTGTAGAAATCCATCCAATATCTCACCTCAAAGGGACAGAAATAGATCGGTCGTTCACCCAGAGCAGAGGAGCACCTACTTCAGTACACGTTCATTCATTCGTTCGACGTAAGAGAATGTAGGAGTAAATATGCGTGACGGTAGGAGATGAGAAGTAAATGTTGACTCGATTTAGACGTTAATTATATCTATTATAATTAGGAGTAGTCCTAATTATATTTGTCCTAATTAAATACAAAAATAGTTTTGTACAAGTTGCTATTTGTCTACTTATACTTACATTTTATTGTCAAGTTCAAAGGACGTAAGACAGATTTTGTAGATAAAAACATATTTAAAACAATACATAACATCACGCCTTTTTATCCCTGGAAGGGTAGGCACATTATGCCACTGTATAATGTAACACCCACTTTTCACTATTTATATTATGAGTCTCATGTAATAGGGGGTGAGCCTATTGTCATATAGTACCGGGCACAATTCCAGATTTCGTGCTACTACTGAGTTTTTTTTTTAAAACCCACTAATACTTTGCCCGACCCGGGAATCGAACCCGAGATCCCTTGCCGCAATCGCACTTGCGACCACTCGGCCAACGAGGCTGTCTTATTAACCTTAAAAACATATTTATTAACCTAAAACTTAGCTTAACCTACTTAGAGCCCATTTTTCAATCGTCAGTTAATTCATAACTGTAGAATAAGATTGATATTTGACAGTTATTTCTCAGTTTAAATGTATAAGGCATTGGAAAAATCAGCCATTAGTAGCATAATTCCATTTAAACTGTCAAACACCAAGCGGTCACCGGTGACCGCAAACTATTGTTCTATAATTGTGTCTATAATGACGGTATTCGACGAGTTAAAGCTTGTTTAAGTTAAAGCAAAATATTGAAAATATGCTTATCTAACTTTCAGTCAACAGTTTCAGCTGCAAAGATGCTTAATAATATATTACTTTTAAATTTTCATGTCACACTAACATGATATATATTTTTCTTACAGGTACAAAGGTGAAATGTTGTGACATCAACCACTATGCCTTAGTGTTGTGACAGTGTCGATAGCCGATATCGATATGGCGCGGTTGTTACTAGTGATGTTGCTGCCGGCGCTTGCCGCAGCGGCAGCCGGTGATAATGACGGGTGCAACCCGGATAAAATGACTGTATATAAAATGGTGCTGCACACATACTGGACAAGAGACAAATTCCCGAAACATTACCCGGATTGGAGACCGCCTGCTCAGTGGTCGAAAGTTTATGGTGAGTATTAAATTTCACTTTCGTTTGGCACTTAAGATAGATGAGGCCCTCATTTCACGTCTTCCAAGTAAGTCCCTTTAAATTAGATGGTAGTCAATTCCGTCCAAATTGGGAGCCATTTTTGAATAATAGTTTCTCGTTGCTCAAGAGATATCCTCCAGGTTTACCTTTTTGAAATATTCAGTAATGGTGTTTATTTTCACGTCAGTGTCTGTTAAGTAGCTCCAGTTATTGACTTTAAAGTTTAGAATTTGTAGTACTACTTTTCGTCACTAGAGCACCAATAGGTACCTATGTTAAAAATAACAGGCAGATTTATAAACAAAAGTGGCGCCAACTAGTGTATGTAAAATGAAATGTTTCCTCCATAACATAAAAATATTCGAGGTGTATTACAAAAACATAAGCTTCCATATTAAAAATACGTTTTGAGTATTTGGTACTTGACATTCATTTCATCGGCTCATAATGAAATCCTGTTTATACGGAATATTTTGTGTTTCACATGAAAATAGCCTCGAATGGTTTACGTAGAATTGGAGTATTGGAAACAATGAATTATGTTTTCCTCTATTTTCCAGTAAATAAATGATTAAAGCTAATGTGCTTTTGCCGTAATTTCTATGAAACGCCTCCATTTATAACATTCTCCATTGCCACAAATTAAAATATGTATCGCCATAATTTTCTAAAGTGCAATATGAAGTGGAGATTATTGATCATGTTATAACTTTTGTGACGCATAATAAATTAATTATTATGTTTTTGGCTTAATCTCGTAACTGTTTAACGAGGAACTCGACTAGTTTCTCATATTCATGAGTAGCATTCCGCGACACACTATGTGGCGACTGTCACGTCGCTACTGGTTACTTGAGTCTGCGAGGCGCGTCCGAGCTTGAAACTAGCCGAATTCCTCAATAGATACTTAGTCATTTTTTGTACTGCCTAACTGCCTCGTTAGCCGAGTGGTCGCTAGTGCGACTGCCGGGAAAGGGTTCTCGGGTTCGATTCCCGGGTCGAGCAAAGTATTACTGGGTTTTTATAAATTCTCAGTAGTAGCACGGAGTCTGGAGTTGTGCTAGATGTATTAGGGCAATAGGCTCACCCCCTATTACAAGGGACTCATAACATAAATAGTGGAAAGTGGGTGTTACATTGTGCAGTGGCATAATGTACACCTCTGCCTACCCCTTCGGGGATAAAAGGCGTGATGTTATGTTTATGTTATGTAATTTTTTTGTTTGCATTTAGTAATCAACTGATTCAATTGAATGAATATTCGGATATCACTGTCTTCATTTATTAAAATTGTGATATCCGAATAGTTATGAATGCCAATCTATACGAAGGACAAAATATTGCTCATTTTCTTCAACTTACCAATGTATTTATAATGTAAAAGTTTTCGAAATAACAGTTAGGTGATAAATAAATTATATATTCATAAATTTTCATCCGTACTCTTCATACAGAACAGAACTCGACTAGTTACGTTAATGGGCAAAGTTTTGATGTACCCACCTCGAAAAGATCTGCGGCGAACATTCTAAGCGTTGTTTTGGTAATTTGTAAATGTTCAGACCTTTATTTTATTCATGGGTTGTGATAACCTTGTTTGAAAACTAGGGTTGGTACTGTTATGTTTTTAAATCACTTTTTAAAAGCCAAACAGTTTTTTTTCTTTATTTTTATGGCATAAGTAACCGAGCAGATGGATCACCTGATGGTAAGCAATCGGCGTTGCCCATGGACACCTGGAACACAGATTGGGGAAGGGGAAGGTAATTGGGCCTCCAGTAACCTCACTCACACGACGAAACACAAGGCAAGCGTTGCTTCACGCCAGTTTTCTGTGAGACCGTGGCATCACTCCGGTCGAGCTGGCCCATTCGTGCCGAAGCATGGCTCTCCCACACTTGTCACACACACAAATGTCTAAGTAATTATTTTATAAACAAGGTTTAAAAAAACCGACTTTAATTCTTCCTTAATTTTTAAAATTCGGTTCAGCTAATCGCGATATAAATAGTGAAATGTGGGTGTTACATTGTACAATGGCATTAAGTACCCTAATGTGCAGTTCTGCCTGCCCCTTTAGGGAGAAAAAAGCGTGATGTTATGTTATGTTATTATAAAATTATACAAAATGTGTCCTTGGTACGTCCAAATAATTCGGTTCTAGGAAAACCGGCTTCGTATAATCTTTGAGTCTGACAGTTCAGTAACGTCTTTAAAAGCCTAAATTTAAAATACATTAAGGCAGAACATTTTCAAATAATCGAATCATATTTTTCCAGATATCTTTTGTCTATTCTGCCATCATAATTGTCAATTTTGTTATTATTGAATAATTTATATTGTTTTATCTCATAATGTTTTTCTACTGAAATTATTTTAGTCAATCATGTCAAAGACAATTTCATTGTCTGAGTATTATTTATTTAGGCTTATATAATATAGTAAAATACATTAATGGTAAATACTAAACTTACATAAAGCAATTTAGTGTTTTTATCGCCTAAAAAAGAAAGTAAGGATACAACTTACATATTTGCTAATTCTCACTAATATTTTAAATCGGAAAGTGAGTTTGTTTGTTTGTTTGTTCCGCTTTCACGCCGTAACTACTAAACCGATTGCTTTGAATTTTTGCAGACGTAAAGTTAGAAGTCTGGATTAAATAATAGAGTACGTTTTATCCCGGAAAAAATTGATATTCCCGAGGGAAAACAAAAGTATTGGTATAGATGGCGCTGTGTGTATTGATATATGTCACATAGGCTACTTTTTATCCTTTTGTGACGCGAGCGAAGCCGCGGGTGAAAGCTAGTATTGTATATTTTAGGGTCATCGCTTACCATCAGTCGATATAGTGGTCAAACGACATCGAATAATATAAAAAAGAATAAGTAACAAAAGAAATGTTTAACATCACTCTCTCCATTAGAACTACAATACATTTGTAACGCCTCTGGTGTTGTGTGTGTCTATGGGCAACGCTGATTGCTTATATCATCAGGTGATCCATATGCTCGCCCTATCCCAAATATAAAACATTAAAACTGCAGTCAAAACAACCACTCAATGTTATTAACAAGTACCTACTATGAATTATTTCTATCAATTCGTCGGTTTTAAACAAAAGTGTCGGCTTCAGTTCCCCTCATTGTTCCTAATGGGGCTGCCATTCTTGGAACAACTGACTGTGATGTGATACCATCATGATTCATACACTCGATAGTGTGACGGGTACTAATGCATTTCTGTTGTTATTGTTTTTAAATTGTTTGTTGACCATATATTTTCTTTGAATTGAAATTCTACTAAAGTTTTGTTATTTTTTTACTAAAATGATTAAATTGAAAATCTTATAGTGATTGAGTCCGTACTTTTCTCCGTTAATTTTTTTTTTTTTAAACGTTGCCCCACATTAGGATTATCTCCTGTGTCGTGGGTGCGTTTACAAACATACAAGTTCACATACATATGACACCCAGACCCGAAACAACAATCTGTGGATCACACAAAGAATTATTGTTCCGTGCGAGAATCGAACCCGCGACACGTTGCGCGGCAGCCAGTTGCCCAGCCACCGCGCCAACCGTGCAGTCAAATTTTAAAATAATAGGTACTTGTTCTTACAAATAACTTTTCTGCCTTTAATAAATACAAACATACTAATTACGTATTCAACCAGACAAACACACACATTACACCTAACATATTCATCACACGACAATAAAACAAAGTTCCAAAAAAGACAACACACACGACTAAAAACAAGAACTTAATGAATGTTCCTAGCAGAGAAAGTGACAGAAATATATTGTTATATTTAATTGGCAAAGAAACACGACACGATTAATACAACTCATTTATTTTATGACACTACGAGTATTATAAAAGTTACGAAGGGGCCATTTATTTTGACACGGCGCGCCTGAATTTGGCGGCCCGCCAGAAATATCTGCCATCTATCGACATTCGCAGGAAATGTGGTATCGACAACACTATTATGTTTCAGACAGCTTATTGGGAGATGCGGAAGAAAAACTGTATTTTATTTTTATAAATATTTTGGTTATTTTTGTCAGTTGTCCAATGATATTGAGAGTTTTATTTTAAATGTCAACGAAATAGGGAAGTGGTATATTTAAAAATGTTATAGCACCTACAGTTATACTGTCCACATTTATGCATTCTACGCCTGAAAAACGCTTGCATCTTGTAGCATTAATCTGATCATCGTCGGATAGATAGCACGACGATAGACCATTGCAAGCAATCATCATCAAATGACACACTGTGGACCGTACCATAGGTTAATAATAATAATTTTAGGTATAAGTACGAGTAACAAGCACATTTAATTGACATTGACCCTCGAAGTAAATATCAAAACAAGTTACTCAAGGAAACAAAACAAAAAACAAACACGAACACGAAAGTTCCAAACTTTGTAGCACATGACCTGATTATTAATTGAACTAAAATTTAATTAAAATCAAATTAGCGAGATACTTGTTCAAACTCGCGTTATGGGATCAACATAAAAGATATTTTATCAAGCTTGTTCGTTGAGAATCTCATAAAATCGGCTTTGATGTTTACAACAAGCTCGTCTAATTACGGGCTTACCTCGAAACTTTACGAAAGAGTATTAGGTCCTTTAAAATGTGAAGGAACTTCTTGAAATATTTGGATACTTTAGATTCTAGTTCCGTAGTGGTTTTACGGTCGACTGAGCATTGGTCCTTTGAGTTGTTTTAGGTACTGGTTTTGTAAGTAAGGGTTGTTTAATTTGAGTAACATTTTAACGTCTTCTTAGGTGTGAGGTTAATACTTTTATAGTTTGTTCGCGTTAAGAATTCAGAACGATGTGCTGTTCAAACAAATTATATTTTAAAAGATTAAGTTTAATGAATTTATAAAAATACACTTAAAAGTTTATAATCAGTTTAGAGAACGGGCTAGGCCTACGGATAATGATGACTTAA